GGAGTCTGCAGCCGAACATTTAATGCTGCTGCATACGTTTGAACTTTAAGTATGAGCCACGTCTGCGCTCATTACAGCGCAGCACGGGGAGAAGTTAACTGAGAACACCAGGAACTAAATCTGGCTTCTGAATGAGTGAAAATTAGAACTCAAAAATATTTTTAAAAAAATGGTAAACTAAAGAAACTCCCAATTTCCCTGCTGTGGCTACATTGGAGAACACTCACACAAGCCCCGCCCTCCTGTTTACTGAAATTAAAATGATGTAAGAAGTTTTTATTTCTGAACAGAATGATCAGAAACTCTTAAGACTACATGACAGCTGCTAAACATCCGCAGCCATCCACAAAACACATTTTTATTTTGTTGTTTGCACAACACAGGACTGAAAAGGACCCACCTGCAGCTCTGCTGGATCCCTCCTTTATCCTCTCTTTCCCAGGGCGTCGGCACATGACTGCCAACCCAGAGGAAGGCTGATTAGAAACCCTGGGCAGCTGCGTTAATCACCCTCACCTGGACATGTTCCCTTAATCATTACTCCTCATCCCCTGCAGCTGAGCCCCACTCACATCCAGCTAATCAACTCCACAACTAAATCTAAAAAAAACTAACAATAAAAATATTTGAAACACAAAAATCATTTGGTTGCATCAACAATAATTCAAGACATTTTACAGACAGTTTATAATAAAAGCTGGCAGTTTCTCTGTTTTCAATTTTCATTCCCTCTAACTAAAATAACAAAAGGACACACAACAGATGACTTTTTGGAAATTGTATTTAAAACTTTGTGGACAACACAGTCTAAATATAGAATTAAAATAAGTCCAAAACCATGAATATGTGCTTAAATAGCAAAAATTTTGTGTTTTTTGGTCTAATTTGAARGCATGTGAAAAGCCCAAACATTGAAAATGCATGATTGAAAATAGATTGAGTCGTCACCAGAAGCAAAATAAAATGTGTTTATTATTTATGAAAATCCATACCTTGAACTGAGAGTCTTAGACGTGTAAAAATACAGTCTTTACTCACAGTGTGTCCCTGTGATGGCAGCTCTCTGCTGAGAAATGGGCAATAAAACTCCGTCTGTTTAGTCAAGGCCAACTGCAGGACGATTGGCTCTCTTTATGAAGGATTCTCCTAAAGCTGCACAACAAACAGAGACATCCAACAGAAGCACACGTCTAATGTGATGTGATGAGCATCTATWCGATCAGAACCCTGATCCAACTGGGCCACCGGCTTTTTGGGTATCATTTCTCAGCTGTAATCACAAACGAACAAGCTYAACTCAGGAGACACTTCAGCACCTGAGAAGCCTGCTGGGCCTTCTTCCAAATTTAACAACTAATTTAAGTTCTTTTGAGCAGATCTGAGTTTTGAGCTCATCCCTGCCTGTGTTGATTTTCAGAGTTATAAATATACCAGAACAGCTGGATTCTCTTCATTAGCTCTTAATGAGCCGACAGGAAGTTTCTTATTTAACGAGGGATTGTATGCACCGTTAAACACAGACAGATTGAGAACAAAGGAGAGGAAAAAACACCAACAGGAAAAGTAAAACTGACAAAAGAAGAACTTGATTTCTGTCCTGTACAGCAGTGTTTCCCAAAGTTGGGGTCGGGACCCAAAGTGGGGTCCCGAAACATCAAGGTGGGGTCCTGAAA